ACTTTGGCGTGAAGCTCCTTCAGCTTGAATCTTCTGTATATTGCTGAAGTGTCCTGGCGCTCCGTTTTCTGGCAACGAGATCTAGAAAACAAAGATAAATGAAATTTGGTGTTGGGGATCGTTCAAGTATTACGTAAGCAGATTTATTACAATTATTTATTACCGCCGCCCGCCCATCTGCCTTGTCTTAAAACAGAAAAGGACTCTACTGACGAGCAATAGTTGAACGTAAAATTTTGTAACAGAAAGTATTTTACTGACGAGCAAAAGCCGAATGTAAGATTTTATAAGAGAAAAGACTTCACCAATGAGCAAAAATCGAATGTAAGACTTTGTAAGGAAAAGGACTCTACTGACGAGCAATAGTCAAACTTAAAATTTTGTAACAGAAAGTACTTTACTGACGACCAAACTTCAACAAAAAATTAATATAATATAAAGTAAAATTAATTTGGATTTTTAGAGAAGAACTCTACCAACGAGCAAAAGTCGAATGTAAGATTTTGTAAAGAAAGGAACTCTACTGACGAGCAAACTTCTGTGACAAAGATTAATTTAAAATAGTAATTGTATAATGACTGCTATTGCAAATAACTCTGTGCGACAGTTTCACTTATATTGTGCTTTATTCGGCGGCATTTTCACATTTTTCAATTTCACAAAATTTATAAAAGCGCTCCTGCATAGTCACAGTCTAAACGCACTTGGGTAAACATTTGTACCAGAGTGGCGCTTAGACTGTGCTTAGCCTGGGTAATTTTTTGAATTTTTTGTATTAGTATTTAGTATTTTTCATCATCGACTGTATTTTACCAGACATGAAAATAAAAAGGACTCTGCTGACGAGCAAACTCAATTCTAATAAAATGTTTGTAATGGGACTCTACTGACGAGCAAATTATTAATTTCAATTTAGAGGAAAAGAAAAGGACTCTACTGACGAGCAAAATATGAATAAGAAATGTCTCTAAAAAGAACTTTACTGGCGACCAAATTTGAAATTCGTAAATATAAAAAAAGACTCTACTGTCGAGCAAACTAAAAAATGACAAAAAAGACAAAGGGACTCTACTGACAACTGATCAAATAACTTGATAGAAATGTACAAACTTGATTTAAAAGACAAAAAAGGGACTTTACTAACGAGCAAATTTCAATTTTAATCTAGAAGAGTAAAGGAATTTTGCTGACGAGCAAAATATGAATAAGAAATGTCTCTAAAAAAGAACTCTACTGACGAGCAAACTTAATTTTAATATAAAATATTTAAAAATTGACTCTACTGACAAGCAAACTTTAATTACAATCTAGTTGATAAAAAGGGACTCTACTGACAAGCAAACTTTAATTACAATCTAGTTGATAAAAAGGGACTCTACTGACAAGCAAACTTCAATTACAATCTAGTTGATAAAAAGGGAATCTACTGACAAGCAAACTTTAATTACAATCTAGTTGATAAAAAGGGAATCTACTGACAAGCAAACTTTAATTACAATCTAGTTGATGAAAAGGGACTCTACTGACAAGCAAACTTTGAAAACAATCTAGTTGATAAAAAGGGACTCTACTGACAAGCAAACTTTAATTGCAATCGAGTTGATAAAAATAGACTCTACTGACAAGCAAACTTTAATTACAATCTAGTCGATAAAAAGGACTCTACTGATGACTAAATTCAATGTATGGTGGATGTTTATTTTATACTTACATTTGCCAATTTGCTCTCAAATTCCAAAACCCTCTCATATCATCCTCTGCTTTCACGGATTAGCTCCCATCAAAATTGCAACTTGCGTCATGTACCGATGATAAGCTTGTAAATCGCCCTCGCTGCTGTTTTTAAGATAGTAGTCTCTCGATGGAAGTGCCAATGCAAGCTGGTCGAGCTGTAATTTAGGCATTAATTAGTAGTATTGACAAAATTTTGCTTTACTTTGAATTTAGTCATCAGGAGAGTCCCTTTTTATCAACTAGATTGTAATTGAAGTTTGCTTGTCAGTAGAGTCCGTTTTTAAATATTTTATATTAAAATTAAGTTTGCATGCCAGTAGAGTCCGTTTTTAAATATTTTATATTAAAATCAAGTTTGCTCGTCAGTAGAGTTCCTTTTGAGAGACATTTCTTATTTATATTTTGCTTTTACAAATATCCACCAAAACTTTGAACTTAGTCATCAGTAGAGTCCCTTTTTATCAACTAGATTGTAATTAAAATTTGTTTGTCAGTAGAGTCCTTTTTTAAATAATTTTATATTAAAATTAAGTTTGCTCGTCAGTAGAGTTCTTTTTGAGAGACATTTCTTATTCAGATTTTGCTTTTACAAATATCCACCAAAACTTTGAACTTAGTCATCAGTAGAGTCCCTTTGTATCAACTAGATTGTAATTAAAATTTGTTTGTCAGTAGAGTCCTTTTTAAATAATTTTATATTAAAATTAAGTTTGCTCGTCAGTAGAGTTCTTTTTGAGAGACATTTCTTATTCAGATTTTGCTTTTACAAATATCACCAAAACTTTGAACTTAGTCATCAGTAGAGTCCCTTTGTATCAACTAGATTGTAATTAAAGTTTGCTTGTCAGTAGAGTCCCTTTTTATCAACTAGATTGTAATTAAAGTTTGCTTGTCAGTAGAGCCTATTTTTTTCAATTTTTAATTTAATCATCAGTAGAGTCTCTTTAAATTTATTTTATTTTGCTAGTCAGTAGAGTACCCCCCCTCCCTTTTTCATTTTTAGTTTGGTAGTCAGTAGAGTCCCACTTTCTTCCATTTTTAATTTATCAGTAGATTTTATTTTTCTTTTATTTTTAGTTTTGCTCGTCAGTAGAGTCCTTTTTTTAATACTAAGTTAGTTTGCTCGTCAGTAAAGTCTCTTTTCAACTGTAGATTAATTATGCTTGTCAATAGTCCTTTTTTGTAGATTTCTTAATTCTATTATTTATTCGTCAGTAGAGTCCCTTTTTTAATTCTAGATTAGTTTGCTTGTCAGTAGCGTCCCTTTTTTGTCTTTTAAACCAATTTTGTACATTTCTATAAAGTTATTTGATTAGTTGTCAGTAGAGTCCCTTTTGTTTTTTTTGCCAATTTTTAATTTGTTCGACAGTAGAGTCTTTTTTTATATTTACGAATTTCAAATTTGGTCGACAGTAAAATCCATTTTTAAATATTTTATATTAAAATTAAGTTTGCTCGTCAGTAGAGTTCTTTTTTAGAGACATTTCTTATTCATATTTTGCTTGTCAGTAGAGTTCCTTTCATAAAACATTTTTCATTAGTATTTTTGCTTACCAGTACAGTTCCTAGTATCTAAATTAAATTTGCTTAACAGTAGAGTCCTTTTTCTTCTTCTAATTTGAAATTAAAGTTTACTTGTCAGTAGTCCTTTGATCTTGTTTGTCAACTTTTAGTTTGCCTGTCAGTAGAATCCTTTTTATACTTGCTAGTTTTAAATTTGATCGTCAGTAGAGTCCTTTTTGTATTTGCTAGTTTCATATTTGATCGTCAGTAGAGTCCTTTTTGTATTTGCTAGTTTCAAATTTGATCGTCAGTAGAGTCCTTTTTATATTTGCTAGTTTCAAATTTGATCGTCGGTAGAGTCCTTTTTGTATTTGCTAGTTTCATATTTGATCGTCAGTAGAGTCCTTTTTATATTTGCTAGTTTCAAATTTGGTCATCAGTAGAGTCCTTTTTGTATTTGCTAGTTTTAAATTTGATCGTCAGTAGAGTCCTTTTTATATTTGCTATTTCAAATTTGGTCGTCGGTAGAGTCCTTTTTGTATTTGCTAGTTTTAAACTTGATCGTCAGTTAAGTCCTTTTTTAATATTTTAGATCAAAACTAAACTAAAGTTTCCTCGTCAGTAGAGTCCTTTTATTATATGTTTCCTTTCTATATCTTTTATATCTATACCAGCTAGTAGAGTTCTTTTTTAGTTTTATATTTACTAATTTTAATTAAGTCATCAGTAGAGTCCCTTTTTATCAACTCGATTGTAATTAAAGTTTGCTTGTCGGTAGAGTCAATTTTTATGTTCTGGATTAAAAATATGTTTGCTCGTCAGTAGAGTTCTTTTATTTTTTCATTTAACAGCTTTAGAATCTGTCAAACTAAACTAAAGTTTCCTCGTCAGTAGAGTCCTTTTATTATATGTTTCCTTTCTATATCTTTTATATCTATACCAGTTAGTGGAGATCTTTTGCAGTTTTTATATTAATAATATGGTCTACATTGAACTTTTATCATGAGCGCTCAACTTGAAGCCCTTACATGATCGCACCTGGATGATGTGTGCAGAAGAATTCTTGTCATCGGCTCCCACGTACAATTCTATCAGAATGGGTTCGCTGTAATCAGATCTGAGGCGCCCTAGAAGGGTTTCTAGGGTGAAATTTGGTAGTTGCCAATTGTCGTCTAACACCGGCCAACCTCCCAATGATGTTATGACATTTCTGAGTGGACCGTCACCGATTTTTCTGATTTGTTCTGCAAAACAAAACAAACTAAAATAGTGAATAGAACGAAGATAGTTTTGAAGTAAAACTTCTTTAGGCGCGACTAGGGTGTAAATATAAGATACGTATAAATAAGATAAGGGTCGAGTGCCAATATCATTTCTATACGGGTCGATTGTGATTAGTTGTCGTGTATGTGAATATAAATCTGTCGTTGTATAACAAGGAAATCGGCATAGATGAATAAACTTTTCAAAGTCACATCTTAGTTCAAATTTTTGAATTAAAACTTCTTTAGGCGCGACTAGGGTGTAAATCCGTACAAATAAGATAAGGGTCGAGTGCCTATGATTTTCCAGTCATTCGCTCTCGATTATATCATTTCTATACGGGTCGATTGTGATTAGTCGTCGTGTATGTGAATAGAGATCTGTCGTTGTATAACAAGGAAATCGGCGTAGATGAATAAACATTTTCAAAGTCACATCTTAGTACAAATTTTTGAATTAAAACTTTTTTAGTCGCGACTAGGGTGTAAATCCGTACAAATAAGATAAGGGTTGAATGCGAATGATTTTCCAGTCATTCGCTCTCGATTATATCATTTCTATACGGGTCGATTGTGATTAGCCGTCGTGTATGTGAATAGAGATCTGTCGTTGTATAACAAGAAAATCGGCATGGATGAATAAACATTTTCAAAGTCACATCTTAGTTCAAATTTTGAATTAAAACTTCTTTAGGCGCGACTAGGGTGTAAATCCGTACAAATAAGATAAGGATTGAGTGCCTATGATTTTCCAGTCATTCGCTCTCGATTATATCATTTCTATACGGGTCGATTGTGATTAGTCGTCGTGTATGTGAATATAAATCTGTCGTTGTATAACAAGGAAATCGGCGTAGATAAATGAACTTTTCAAAGTCACATCTTAGTACAAATTTTTGAATTAAAACTTCTTTAGGCGCGACTAGGGTGTAAATCCATACAAATAAAATAAGGGTCGAGCGCCAATGATTCGTCATTCGCTCTCCATGATATCATTTCTATACGGGTCAATTGTGATTAGTCGTTGTGTATGTGAATAGACATCTGTCGTTGTATAACAAGGAAATCTACATAGATGAATAAATTTTTCAAAGTCACATCTTAGTGCAAAGCTTGATTTAATGAAAAATCAGTAGCCTGAATCAGAAGAGTATTTTGCCCTGTTTTTTGAAAATATTAAAACAAATTAAGCATTTGTGCCGTGTACTAAACGTAAATTTATTGATTGGAAATTATTTCTATATTATTCGTAAATAAAAAGGGACTCTACTGACGTCCAAACTAAAAATGAAAAAAGAAGAAGGACTCTACTGACAAAAATAAAAATTAAATTCAAAGTGACTTTACTGATGATTAAATTAAAATTACTGGTAAAAAGGACTATACTGACGAGCATACTGAAAGGGACTCTACTGACGAGCATATAAAAATAAAATTAAAAAGGGACTCTACTGACAAGCGAAACTAAAAATAAAAGAAAATAAACTCTACTAATAATTAAATTAAAAATGGAAGAAAATGGCACTCTACTGACGAACAAACTAAAAATTAAAGAAAATGGGACTCTACTGACGAGAAAAATAAAAATAAAATTTAAAGAGACTCTACTGATGAATAAATAAAAAATTAAAGAAAATGGGACTCTACTGACGAGCAAACTAAAAATTAAAGAAAAAAGGACTCTACTGACGACCAAACTAAAAATGAAAAAGGGAGGGAGACTCTACTGACGAGCAAAATAAAAATAAAATTTAAAGAGACTCTACTGATGATTAAATTAAAAATTAAAGAAAATGGGACTCTACTGACGAGCAAAACTAAAAATAAAAGAAAAATAAACTCTACTGATAATTAAATTAAAAATGGAAGAAAAAGGGACTCTACTGACGACCAAATTAAAAATGAAAAAGGGAAGGGTCTCTACTGACGAGCAAACTAAAAATTAAAGAAAAAGGGACTCTACTGATGATTAAATTGAAAATTAAAGAAAAATGGACTCTACTGACGAGCAATCTTAAAATAACATTAAAAAGGAACTCTACTGACGAGCAAACTAAAAATTAAAGAAAAATGGACTCTACTGACGAGCAATCTAAAAATAACATTAAAAAGAGACTCTACTGACGAGCAAAACTAAAAATAAAATCAAAAATGGACTTGTAATTTCTATAAATCATTGAAGTCATTAAAATGGAAAATATTTTTTAGACAAGACATATATTACACCTATTCAAAGAATGAGATTATATCGCCAGCGAAAATGTAAAACAAATACAAACAGTCGATGAATGTATGTTAATTTTAATTAAATTAAGTTCTTCAAACACAATTAAATGATGAGTGAAGTTGCAAAAACAATATTTGTTTAGACTTTTTTAGAATTTATTAATCAGCAATTACTTCATTTCCCTATTGAAGGTTCATTTCTGAATGCTAATTACAATGACAAACCGATCATGTCATATTTGAAGTACGACTTTATGTGGACTCAATGTTCACTTATTTATTAAGGGTTTGCAACCCCCCCGAGTTGTTTTCACTTTTGAGCTTGAGGTTAAGATGAACCTAATTCCAAAATTTCATACAAATTGGAGCACAGTAAAAAAAAATCACACGTTACACCCTTTCCTCTCCGTTTACTGAACTAAAAATACAACTATTGATAGACTTTAGTCTTCGATCTACTTACGTATATCAACGCAGGATTTGTAGAATGTTTTGGCCTTAATCGTGGCCTGGTTGTCGTCTTCACCGATCGGTTCTTCGAGGACACCTTTGAGGATCAGCTGTTGCTGGTCAGCTAAAACTTCAAAAGTGCTGATTGAGCTCCTGTCTTCGGGTATGACGTGTTTTTTGTTCCAGGAGCCGCAGGCGTAACGAAAAAAGTCTTCGCAAGGATCGGCTGTGTGATCCATTGCTGATAATAGGGTTGAGGCTGGGGGAAAAAGATTAAAGATATTTGGTATTAGTATTTCCGAAATGGCTGGACCTGCCCCTTTTTCAGAAACTAATCAGCACATCTCCCTATCAATAGGGATCGAATGTTTTTGGAACCATTCAAATCGGATAATCCGTGCTCTACCGATGAGCAAATTGTTTCGTATCGAATGATAAAAAGGACTCTACTGTCGTAAATATCAATCTGAAAGACAAAGAAGTAATTCTACTGACGATCAAACTGAAACTAAATCTGCACGAGAAAAAAGAACTCTACTGTCGGTCAAATAAAGTAAATTAATTAGGAAAAAAGGATCTGTGGAATCAAACTAAAACAAAAAGGAAACTCTACTGACGAGCAAACTAGAATAAAAGAACAAAGGGACTCGACTGAAGAGCAATCTGAAAACTAGTTGGTTTGGTATTTAGCCTTGAGGCAAGTTACATGAACTTCCCGATTTGTGTAAATAATCGACTTAATAAAAAAAATGTGTAAATAATATTCTTTATCAATCCTACTTTGAAAAAAACGATAATAATTTTAGCAAACTTTGACGAATTTGTAGAATTAAACTACTTGTCGTAAGGCCATAATATTACAGTAAGTTCTATAAGACCATGATGTATATCGCCAAAAAAAGTTCCATGAAAATCGTCTTAATATTTTTTTCAACAGTTAATTACAAGAAAACGGCTCGGTAGATTTTCACCTAAAATTAATCAGTATCATTCCCAACTAATATCTTTCGAACAGTTTTTGATTTTTTGAAATCGGTTCGGTAGGATGAGCTTAAATGTGTACGAAAAGTTTTTTCAAATTACAAAGAAAGGGGCTTGTCAGATCGTTGCACAAAATTGACACACGATAGTCCTCGCCGAAATACAACAAATGGCTTTTAAATTTCTGAAATCGGTTCAGGCGTTTTTGAGAAAACGTCGATCAAAAGTCTAATTTTGACAAATGCCAAAAAGACCATACTGATTTTTGCAAACTTGACGAATTTTTAAAGCTGAACCAGTTGTCGTAGGGCCGTAATATTTTAGTATCATCTAGAAGACTATGGTATCTATCGTCAAAAAAATAATCATAAAATCGTCGAAATTTTTTTTTTAAAAACTTTATTACAAGAAACGGCCCGGCCGATCTCTACCAAAAACTAATCAGCACGATTCCCAACCAATATCTTTCGAACGGTTTTTGAATTTTCAAAATCGATTCAGAATTGCGGGCTAAAACGTAGACGAAAAATTTTTCACTTTTCTGCCATTTATGAAAGAAACGGCTTGGCCGATCGTCGCACAAAACTGACAAACAATAGTTCTCGTCGAGATACATCGAATAGCTTTTAAATTTTTTGAAATCGACCTAGCCGTTTTCGAGAAACGTCGATTTACGGCAAAAAATCTGTTCACATACACACACACACACACACACACACACACACCACACACACACCCCACCCCAACTTTTTTTCCAAATTTGGTCTCATTCGATTCAGAATGGCTTGAAACGTCGAGAAAAATAAAATTAGCGAATCGGATTTTTTGATGAAAACATAAACTTCTCCTTCGGAAGTTAATAAATGACAAAAGAGCAAAAAGTGACTCTACTGACCAACAAGTTAAAGCACGATCTAGGAAATAAAAAGGGACTTTACTGACGAGCAAAATCGGAAATTAATAGTAAAACGCCATATTATAGAAAGAGGACTCTTCTGACGAGCAAATTAAATATCAGAGAAAGGACTCTACTGACGAACAAATTAAATATCAGAGAAACTGACGAATAGAATCTGAATGTTTACAATAATTTTTTTTACTATGTTATATTAAAAAAAGACTTTACTGACGAACAAAGTCAATATAAATACTTCGAGTATGAAAAAGACTTTGCTGACAAGCGAATAGAATAGATCGTAGATAGATAGAAATTAAAAAGGGACTCTACTGAGAGCAAACTAATATTTAGATAGAAAATTAAAAAGGGACTCTACTGACAAGCAAACTAAATATCTAGATAGAAAATTAAAAGGGACTCTACTGACAAGCAAACTAAATATCTAGATAGAAAATAAAAAATAATGCCACTTACACCTAGTTCATTAACTCACCGTAGGGTAGTTATAGTAATGGGTCGTGGTAATGGCTATAGAAATGAAAATTTTTGCATTTCTCGACGTTTTGAAGGTTTCTGAACATTCTTAAAGCGCATACCTTACGAAAACTAATAGATGTGTGTATGTGTCAAAAAATTGAAAAAATGACCCGCAGTAGTAAAAAATGGAAAATTATTTCTTTTTTTTTATCCTCATTGTGGTTAGCCTAACCTTAATAAAGACGGACATGAAATTGTACACAAACTGAAAAGCGAGAAAAATTTAAATTTGAAAAATAATTTTAGTTAGAAATTATAATTTGATTGAATTGAAGAAAATATTATGTCAAAGTATGTCTTTTCTTATTTAAGATGATTTTATTGCTCTTGATATCGATAATAACAAACGTATCTATCATTTTTCACAAAAGTTTGTACTAAGTCTCAAAGAGTAAAATAAATCACAACTAAATTGACTAAAATTGACAAGAAATAGTTTTATAATATTATTAACGTCCCGTAGGGTAGTTATAGTAATGGGCCGAAAATCTAAAAGAAAAATTTTTGCATTTTGCTTTTTCCATCCTTTAGTTTGCTCGTCAGTAGAGTCTCATTTACCTCCATTTTTAATTCAATTATTAGTAGAATTTATTTTTCTTTTATTTTAGTATGCTCGTCAGTAGAGTCCCCTTTAGAGTTTATATTCTTTTTAGTAATTTTGTATTCAGTAGAGTCAGTAGTCTTTTAATAATTTTCCATCCTTTGCTCGTCAGTAGAGTCCCTTTTTGTATATTTTAGGTGTTTGCTCGTCAGTAGAGTCCCTTTTTAATGCTATTTTTAGATTGCTCGTCAGTAGAGCCCATTTTTCTTTAATTTTTTGTTTGCTCGTCAGTAGAGTTTTGAAGGTTTCTGAATGTTTTTCAAGGGCATACCTCATAAATTAAATGATTGTGTGTTGGGTTTTGTATGTCCGCATTTTTAGTATTAAAAAAGGGATTTTACTGACGAGCAAACTAATCTAGAATTTAAAAAGGGACTCTACTGACGAGCAAACTTAATCTAGAATTAAAAAAGGGACTCTACTGACGAGCAAACTTAATCTAGAGTTAAAAAAGGACTCTACTGACGAGCAAACTTAATCTGAATTTAAAAAGGGACTCTACTTACGAGCAACCTTAATCTAGAATTAAAAAAGGGACTCTACTGACGAGCAACTTAATCTAGAGTTAAAAAGGACTCTACTGACGAGCAAACTTAATCTAGAATTTAAAAAAGGGACTCTACTTACGAGCAAAACTTAATCTAGATTAAAAAGGGACTCTACTGACGAGCAAAATTCTAAAAAAATTATGGATAATGTCATTTTATAAAAGGGATTCTACTGACGAGCGAAATTCATGAGATGTGATAAAAAGAACTGTACTGACGAGCAAATTAAGAAAAAAAGTCGTATGTTACATTTCAGTGTCAAACGATTCAGAATGACTTGAGAAATCGTAAAATCAGAAAATCGGATTTTCTGGCGATAGCTCATTCGGGCAGTTAAAAATCGACCTAAATATTTGTTCAGAAACCAATACAATTGTTATAATTTAATAATTCAGAGACGATTCTGCCGCATAAAAGACCAATGTTATGGCAAGGCTATTATTTTCATACTAAGTATTGACAAAAGCCATGCGGTTGCTGTGACTGTACGGGAACTCTTTTTCAATTTTGAGTAAATTAGGTAACTCACTATTTTTTTGAAATTGAATTCGAAATGAAATGACGATTGTTAATGTTCCTGGAGATAAATTGATTTATGATTTATGATTTATGATTTACATTTGATTTGCTCAGATATAACAAACAAGATAGCAAAAATAATGAAACATTTACAATATTTTGTAATACCACGTTTGAAATTTCTCGAATATTTCATTACGGTACGGGAACTTTCAGTAATTTGTCTTAAGGCACGATGCCATACACCACTAGTTAGTTGGTATTTACCTGTTTTGATACAGTCCTCGGTAAGGCATATTGGTTTTTGAGGTCCTGAAAAAATAAAAATAATTTACTAATAAGTTTTATTTTACCAAATTTGGTTTATTACCAGAACTGCATCCCCCGCCAATTTGCAAAAAGACAATCGTCCAAACCCCTGCAGTAACCGCAACCAGAAGAACAACAAGTGTTGCCAGCATAGTTTTATTTTTCCTCCTCCACCACGGTCTTTTTTTCCTTCTAATAGAAGGTTCCGTACCACCAACAGCCATACCGCCGTTAACCGCCAAATTTGGTGCCTTTATGAACCCGTTTCTGGGGTTGGAACCTATCATGGGTTCTGAGGCGTCTGTCATGGGTGATGGGTTGAAATTGTCCAAAAAGGGCAAAAGGGTTGTACTAAATTGTTTGAAGGGTTTTTGGACTGGTAGACATTGGTGAGGATTATTTTGGCACTGTTTTTGGTCACTTATGGAGTCAGCATTAGTGTCACTTTAAAAGTTTTACTTCAATTTTTGATTTTCACTAAAAAATTTATTATTTATTATACTAATATTTATATTAACTATGCGAATTGTTTAAAAAATAATCAGTTATTACGAATTTATAGCTCAGGTGCGTAAAGAAGTTTTACTTCAAAA